TATATACATGTATATATCTTTTCTCTTTCTTCCCTCTTTCTCTCTCTCTTTCTTTCTCTTCTCTTTCTCTCTTTCTTTTCTTTTCTCTCTCCCCGCCCTCTCTCTCTCTCCCTCTCTCTAGGTCTCTCTCCCTCTCTCTGGTTCTCTCTCCCTCTCTCTGGGTCTCTCTCCCTCTCTCTGGTTCTCTCTCCCTCTCTCTGGGTCTCTCTCCCTCTCTCTGGGTCTCTCTCTTTTTTCTTCTTTTCTCTCTCTCTTTCCCTCTCCCTTCTTCCCCCATCTCTCTTTATCTCTCTCTTCTCTCTCTTCCCCCCCTCTCTCTCTCTCTCTCTTCTCTCTCCCCCTCTCTCTCTCTCTCTCACTCTCACTTTACTCGATAAAAGTTCCTCCCACACGGGATCCAAACTCGGGTCTTTTGCGTGCGACAGTTAGACACCTAACCGCTACACCACAGACGCCAGTCTCTATCAGTTTTCGTCTCAGTCAGTTTGAGGAATTTCTTTCGGGAAACAACGTGCTCCTCTAAGATCCCAAACTTTCATCAAAGTGTATCCTCTTCCAGACTTCGAGCCTCAGCTCCGCTCTCTGGCGTTGACCAGATGACAAGGACATGTGGTTACTTGAGGGGGGCATTGCACTGCCAAGAGCGAAATGCTCGCAGCTAAAAGGGTTTGAAAACAACAACAACAAACAGTTCCGCTCGACGTTGTGTCCTTGGGTACACACATTTTCCATTCGTCTCGGTCCTTTCGGAAACTCGGAGGTCTCGCCTCTTAAATGACCTAATAATAGTGTTGACCTATACCATTTTCGCCTCTTCTGAACGGGACATCTCGTTAGCTCAATTGGTCGCTTGTAAGCACAAGGGGGCTATCCCGAAAATTCTGTTTTGAGAAAATCGAAGGTAAGGTTTTTGCCCCTTGTTCAGTTTCTTTAAAAGACGAGGAGAGTTTTCTCTATACCCAAACAAATATACACACCAATGAATCCAAACTTCTCCTATACGTAAGGCAATGCCCACTTTTGGTGTAAATCAAGATATCTGGAAACCCCCGAAATCTGGGTTAGCCCGCTTGTCCCTAAAAGCGACCAAATAGTGGCTCGTGTGTTGTTTCACTCTGTCGGGGACGGACTTTAAATTCGGAGCTTCCGCCTCCGTATTGGGACAGAAACTACCTGACAGAGTTGATAGGGGCATTTAACCCGTACATAAAATTTACACTTACTACGCTGTATTCCAAAAGCCCTTCCTGCCCCAACCCCCTCACCTCCCTCCTTTGGGCTCCTGACACTTTTAAGTTTTAGCAGCAGAGACCTAGCTACGTAAACATTGCTCGGTCTCTGGTTTTAGAATGAGTTTTACGACGCTCGCAACTGCAAAAGGTCTTATGAGCGCGCCAAAAAAGTTGGTTTTATTCGCAATAGTTCACCGCACAGCCTACCTGTCTCTTTAGCCTTTCTACTGCTTCTCCTTGGCTCCTTCTTACTGCTGTCTTTCAGTCACACCCCTGGTCTTACTCTTATGGTAAGTAAGATCTACACCCAGCCTTCTCGGACAAAGGCGAAAAATCTCAGAGATCCCGTGTGGTCCAAATTGGATAAGAAGAGTAGGCTTTGGCCGCCACCCGGGCAAAATTCAAAATTTCCGACCAACTGAAAATGTTCGGTGTGTCCCGCGAGCTCATATGACCTCTATGCACTTGCGAGCACTGTAAAACGCTTACCAAAAACATAAAAAAGAACTCTCTATCTCTCTCTCTCCCTCTCTCTCTCTCTCTCT